TTTCGCCGTTGGTATTGCAAACCGCTCCTATTAAAAGTATGCCATTCCTTCTGCGCAAGGGAAAATTTTCTGAAAGTTTTAAGCATTTTGCATGAATTACCTTTGATATTAAAAAGGTTGCCGGGGTTTATTATTTTTTGAAAGAGTATGTACTAGACAGCTAGTACTGCATTTTCTTCAGAAAATAAAGTGAATCTCAGATGCAATGGATACCTTTAAATTTTTGATGTTTTTTTCCCCCCGTGGCCTCATTAAGTCAGAGAGAAAAATGAGAAAGAGGAGTAGACAGTATTAAAATTTAACGGGCTCTTCACTTGGGTTACGTTTTTTCCCAAAAAACCCATCGTAAGCAAAAATATTTAGGTCGAATCGAATATATGATAAAAGATAAATAAAAACTACTGTCACGAATAGGTAAAAAAAACAAAAAATTACTGTAACTAAATACAAGTTATGGTTTGCTGCTTCATGGCTGGGTAAATCTTAAGTTTTATCTCTAAAGTACATAATTGTTTTTCACAATCGAAATATTTATAAGTCGAAAAAATCTAAGTCAAGAGACCTGTAGGAATACACAAGGACCTGAAGTGAAGTAAGAATAAACATTAAAAAAAAATTTTTTGGCCCAAAACCCCATCTTCAAAGACCTAAACTCACTCACTGCCAGAGCATCCACACTTAATACAAACAACCTAATTTACAGAACCATAAAAATTTCCATACAATCCTGAACTAAAACGCTTTTTTATAGTTGGACAGGACCCTTGCACAATACCAACAAAAATCCTATGACTTCCCCCGGTTTTGGCTCAATCTATACAAAAATCAAAGTACATTAAAGGGTCAAAAACGAAATCCCTAACTGAAAAATTTGAACACAGGGCTCAGCCCCCATTTTCAAAATACTGCAGAAACATTTTTCCCCCAACACACCCCCCCCATCAATAACTACATAAAAACACCCATTCACCACACCACACACACACACACACACACACACACACACACACACACACACACACACACACACACACACACACACACACACGCAACGCACGCACGCACGCCCCACGCGCACGTACAACGTACCACACACACACACACACACATGCACACGCACGCACACGCAACCCCAACACAACCACACACACAAAACACCACACCCCACACGCACACCACACACACACACACACACACACAGACCACACACACACACACATGCACATCACAGCACACACCCCACACAAAACACACACACACACAACACCACACACACACAACCACACACGGAACGAATGAAGCCAAACTACAAGAAAGGGGCACACAGGAATGAGGAACACCTGAACGAGTTCATGGGACAGAGAACTGCAGGGAACCGTTAATGAATGATGGAATTGTAGCAACAAATGTGAGGTTTGGAGAGGTTTGTACCCAAGGGTAACAGGTAATGAAAAAGCAGTGATCCCATGGTTACCCTAAAGGTGCAGGAGGCAAAACCAAGTGTGTAGGGAATGGAAGAAATATAAAGGCAAAGACCAGGAAATAAGGAGAAAACAGTCGTAAGAGCCCGAAGAATATGCCAAAATAAAAGGGAAGGCCCAAAAAGACAATAGATAATACAAAAGCAGCGAAAGCCAAATTGACCCGAAAACTGTTGTACAGCACTCAGGAGGAAAACAACAGTCAAGGCCAGGTAATCAGCTAAGGAAGGAAGGAGGAGAGACAACAGGAAATGACCCGGGAAGTATGTGAAGAACTCAACAAGAGATTTTAAGAAGTGTTCACAGAGGAGACAGAAGGGACTCCAGAAAGACGGAGAGGTGGGCACACCACCAAGTGCTGGACACAGTGCACACAACCAAGGAAGAAGTGAAAGAGGCTTCTGAGTGAGCTAGATACCTCAAAGGCAATGGGGCCAGATAACATCTCCCCATGGGTATGAGAGAGGGAGCAGAGGCGCTATGTGTACCCCTAACAACAATATTCAATACATCTATCGAAACAGGGAGATTGCCTGAGGCATGGAAGACAGCAAATGTAGTCCCAATCTTTAAAAAAGGAGACAGACATGAAGCATTAAACTACAGACCAGTGTCACTGACATGTATAGTATGCAAAATCATGGAGAAGATTATCAGGAGAAGAGTGGTGGAACACCTAGAAAGGAATGATCTCATCAACAGCAGCCAACATGGTTTCAGGACGGGAAATCCTGTGTCACAAACCTACTGGAGTTCTATGACATGGTGACAGCAGTAAGACAGAGAGAGAGGGGGTGTGGTGGATTGCATTTTTCTTGGACTGCAAGAAGGCGTTTGACACAGTTCCACACAAGAGATTGGTGCAAAAACTGGAGGACCAAGCAGGGATAACAGGGAAGGCACTACAATGGATCAGGGAATACTTGTCAGGAAGACAGCAGCGAGTCATGGTACGTGGCGAGGTGTCAGAGTGGGCACCTGTGACCAGCGGGGTCCCGCAGGGGTCAGTCCTAGGACCAGTGCTGTTTCTGGTATTTGTGAACGACATGACGGAAGAATAGACTCTGAGGTGTCCCTGTTTGCAGATGACGTGAAGTTGATGAGAAGAATACACTTGATCGAAGACCAGGCAGAACTACAAAGGGATCTGGACAGGCTGCAGACCTGGTCCAGCAATTGGCTCCTGGAGTTCAATCCCACCAAGTGCAAAGTCATGAAGATTGGGGAAGGGCAAAAGAAGGCCGCAGACGGAGTACAGTCTAGGGGTCAGAGACTACAAACCTCACTGAAGGAAAAAGATCTTGGGGTGAGTATAACACCAGGCACATCTCCTGAAGCGCACATAAACCCAAATAACTGCTGCAGCATATGGGCGCCTAGCAAACCTCAGAACAGCATTCCGACATCTTAATAAGAATCGTTCAGGACCCTGTACACCGTATATGTTAGGCCCATATTGGAGTATGCGGCACCAGTTTGGAACCCACACCTACCAAGCACGTAAAGAAACTAGAGAAAGTGCAAAGGTTTGCAACAAGACTAGTCCCAGAGCTAAGAGTTATGTCCTACGAGGAGAGGTTAAGGAAATCAACCTGACAACACTGGAGGACAGGAGAGATAGGGGGGACATGATAACGACATACAAAATACTGAGAGGAATTGACAAGGTGGACAAAGACAGGATGTTCCAGAGATTGGACACAGTAACAAGGGGACACAGTTGGAAGCTGAAGACACAGATGAATCACAGGGATGTTAGGAAGTATTTCTTCAGCCACAGAGTAGTCAGTAAGTGGAATAGTTTGGGAAGCGATGTAGTGGAGGCAGGATCCATACATAGCTTTAAGCAGAGGTATGATAAAGCTCACGGCTCAGGGAGAGTGACCTAGTAGCGATCAGTGAAGAGGCGGGGCCAGGAGCTCGGACTCGACCCCCGCAACCTCAACTAGGTGAGTAGGTGAGTACACACACATGCACATGCACACACACACACACACACACACACACACATACATCCTCCTCATTTACACCTACATTAACCCAAATGACTGTAAACATAAAACTCCAAATACGTATAACTATTGCACACTAACAGCACCTTTCAAGGCAGGTGAAATTGCTGACCTAGAAAATGTACAGAGAACCTTCACAGCATACATAACTGCGATAAAACACCTTAATTACTGGGAACGCTTGAAGTTCCTCAACCTGTATTCCCTAGAATGCAGGCGGGAGATACATGATTATATACACTTGGAAAATCCTAGAGGGATTAGTACCAAACTTGCACATGAAAATCACTCTCTATGAAAGCAAAAGACTTGGCAGGCAATGCAACATCCCCCAGTGAAAAGTAGGGGCACCAATAGCACAATAAGAGACAACATAAGTGTCAGGGGCCCAAGACTGTTCAACTGCCTCTCAGCATACATAAGGGGGATCACCAACAGACCCCTGGTTGTCTTCAAGAAGGCTCTGGAGAGGCACCTAAAGTCAGTACCTGACCAGCTATGCTGTGGTTCGTACGTCAGGTTGGATGCGGCCAACAGTAACAGCCTGGCTGATCAGGCCCTGATCCACCATGAGGCCTGGTCACAGACCGGACCATGGGAGCACTGACTCCTGGAACCCTCTTCAGGTATACTCCAGGTATATGCATTTTTTTTAGGCACTAAAAGTGAAAAAAGGCCATGTTGCACCTTACAGCAGTAGCCCGGAACCAAACCTACTGTATAAGCAGGTTCCTCCTGTATATTTAATGCACAGAATAAGCTAATGACTACCTTCACTTTATTTTTAAAAAATAAAACTATTTGTCTTTAAGTTTGAAATATAATTTTCAACATGTTTAGATAGTCAAATGCATTCTTTCCACACATTACTATTGGATCACTCATGGGTAAACTTATATTTAGTGTAGCATGGCCTGGTGGCTAAAGCTCTCGATTCACATGGCAAGGGTCTGGGTTCGATTCCCAGCGTGGGCAGAAACATTGGGCATGTTTCTTTACACTGGTTGTCTATGTTCACCCCTCAGTAAAATGGGTACCTGGGAGTTAGTGGACTGGTATGGGTCACATCCTGGGACAAAACTGACCTAATTTGCCCGAAATGCTCTGCATAACAAGTGTACTTGTAGTAAATAAAGATATTATTATTATTATTATTACTATTATTGAGTGCACTAAACCTGTAGTGCACTCACGCTCTTCACTGGCATCAATGGGTGAAGACAGTTCATATCTCTGGAAAGAGAGACAACTTGAGATCATACAACCAAGAGACAATCAACCAGTATAGATATAATTATGCACGAGTGCAGTGTATTGATGCATTATTGTTTTATTGTATCATTTATTTCAACATTTCCACAGTATTTAATAACCTATAGGGGTTTAGCACTTGTTCATAAGTGTAATACTTTGGAATAACACAGGATTTATATTAGTTTGAAATTTATATTTTCAAGAAGTGCATATGTGAGGCTAAACACAGAGGATGAAGTGGGAGATAACAAACCAGCAAGTAACAACGCCCTTCACTGATCATCTGTTGGACTAGTGGGGGAATATGCTGCATATCTCCTACAATGTTGATGTTAATTCTGGACCACTCAGGTAGCCATGCCTTCACATTGGCAGCCTCCATCTCACTCCATAGCCGCTTGCGACTTGCCTGAAAGAGAAAAATCATTGGCTTTCTTTTGTACCTAGTAATGATTAATTACATGTCAACTATATTATTTGTACTGCATAAACATATAAAAATTACACTGCATTGTATTGTATGGGATACAGAAGGGAAAATGAAAAATGGTGAAAAAAATGGGAAAGAGTAAATAAATGCACAAAGAACAGCTAAGCTGAATAAAATGAAGTTAAAGTAGTGAGAAGTTAAGATATAATTAAGACTACAATGTTCTTAAAGTGTGAGGTAAGGTACCATAAATTGAACGAAAGACATACAGTAGTCACGACTATAATTTTTCAGTGTGAGGGAAGATAATGCAGACAAGGAAAGACATCTGGAGTATACCTGGAGAGAGTTTCGGGGGTCAACGCCCCTGCAGCCCGGTCTGTGACCAAGCCTTATACTGGATCAGGGCCTGATCACTGTTACTGTTGACCACATGCAATCCGACATATGAACCACAGTCCAGCTGGTCAGGTACTGACTTTAGGTGCCTGTCCAGTGCCTTCTTGAAGACAGCCAGGGGTCTATTGGTAATCCCCTTATGTATGCTGGGAGGCAGTTGAACAGTCTAGGGCCCCTCACACTTATTGCGCTGTCTCTTATCGTGCTAGTGGCGCCCCTGCTTTTCACTGGGAGGATGTTGCATCGTCTGCTGTCTTTTGCTTTCATAGGGAGTGATTTTTGTGTGCAAATTTGGTACTAATCCCTGGTCAAGGCTGTTCACTACTATTTAAATATTTCATTTATAAGCATCAGCTATATATTATTGTAGAAAGATAAACAATTTGTTTTGGCACAGCACAAGGGTTTTACAGATATAGGAAAATGATACTTTTATTTGAAATAATGTGTGGATGCCCCCCTCTCATCTGTGACTGCTTGACAGAGTAGAGAACAGAGCAAGACATCTCATCTCTCGCCTGGACCCATCTTGGATAGATCTGTCATTTCAGTAGAGCCTTCAACACAGGAGGGATATGGGTGGCCTTACTGTTATGTACAAGGCCAACATTGTCAAAATACCACACTTGGCTCCACTTCAAGGACAGCGAGAAGCAAGCTTCTAAATCACAAAATGAGCAAAAAGCAGCAACTCCACTCTGGCTGTACCTTTCTCCAGAACATCACTTCATCTGAGATCATTTATCCCCAGGATGACTCGAGTCTGGAACACATTCGTACAGCATTGTGATGTCAGTTGATTAAGTGAAAATGCTGGCCCGCAGATGGCTCCAACTTCATCCTGTTCCGTACTTGTATGTTTCATAACAATAAAAATGCTTTCAAATGAGCTGATGTAGGTAACAGCTCTTAGCTTGTTAATAAAGTTAGAAATCCTTAACTTGTAAATAGCTTATCAATAAAGATATGGATCCTTAACCTAACCTTGTCAAACCCTGTATTAAAAGAAAAAAACTGAACAATTAGAAGCAGCAGTATAGAGGGTGAAGAATATGGTAGCTAATCTCCCTCCTGATAGGTTCTCAAGAGAAAGTAAAATACAGTACCAGAAGGCACTCATAATGAGATTCTCAAGAGAAAGCCAAGTAGAAAACTAGAAGGTACTCATGATGAGGTTCTCAAGAAGCCAGGTAGAGCACTAGAAGGCACTCATGATGAAATTCTCAAGAAGAAGCCAGGTACAGTACCAGAAGGCACTCTTGAAGAGGTTCTCAAAAGGAAGCCAGGTACAGTACTAGAAGTCACTCTTGAAGAGGTTCTCAATTCTCAAGAGGAAGCCAGGTACAGTACCAAAAGGCACTCTTGAAGAGGTTCTGAAGAGGAAGACAGGTACAGTACCAGAACACACTCTGGATGAGGTTCTGAAGAGGAAGCCAGGTACAGTACAAGAAGGCACTCTCGAAGAGGTTCTGAAGAGGAAGCCAGGTACAGTACCAGAAGGCACTCTGGATGAGGTTCTCAAGAGGAAGCCAGGTACAGTACAAGAAGGCACTCTCGAAGAGGTTCTGAAGAGGAAGCCAGGTACAGTACCAGAAGGCACTCTGGATGAGGTTCTCAAGAGGAAGCCAGGTACAGTACCAGAAGGCACTCTGGATGAGGTTCTCAAGAGGAAGCCAGGTACAGTACCAGAAGGCACTCTGGATGAGGTTCTCAAGAGGAAGCCAGGTACAGTACCAGAAGACACTCTGGATGAGGTTCTCTAAGAGAAATCCAGGTACAGTACCAGAAGGCACTCATAATGAAGTTCTCAAGAGGAAGCCAGGTAGAGTACTAGAAGGCACTCTTGATTAGATTCTCAAGAGGAAGCCAGGTACAGTACCAGAAGACACTCTGGATGAGGTTCTCAAGAGAAATCCAGGTACAGTACCAGAAGGCACTCATAATGAGGCTCTCAAGAGAAATCCAGGTACAGTACCAGAAGGCACTCATAATGAGGTTCTGAAGAGGAAGCCAGGAAGAGCACTATAAGGCACTCTTGATGAAGTGCTCACGAGGAAGCCAGGTACAGTACTAGAAGGCACAAAATTAGTTTTAATTATGGATAATACTGTCCACAAGAACAAATTTATTTAAATTCACTAATATGTTATTCTGACTAAATTTTTTTTTTAGTTTTAATCTTAAACTTAATAAATTTATTAAATGAATTATTCTACTGGCATTAACACTAAAGTATTATCAATTTTTTGGTATCCTCACAGCCCAGCCTGGGGCCATTCTTTTCTGCTGATTGCCTTTTGAACCAATCACTAGCAAGTGGCACTGCTGTGCCTACCTTGAGCCCGTTAGTCCGTAGAAAAATGCCAGGTGGGGTGAATCTTATAGCCTCATGTGTAAGTAAGGCTTCCTTCTCTCCAAATACATTCAGCAACTTAACAGCAAATTCTTCACTAGTAGAAAACTTTGTTTTTACTCTTCTAATTACCTCCTGTGTTCTGTGACAATGAAGGAAGAATACAATTAACAAAATTCTTTGCTAAAGGAAAATTAAGATGAAACATTTCAAATTTATATATATATTTTTTTTTTTTTCAACAAGTCGGCCGTCTCCCACCAAGGCAGAGTGACCCAAAGAGAAAGAAAATCCCCAAAAAGAAAATACTTTCATCATCATTTAACACTTTCACTTCACTCACACATAATCACTGTTTTTGCAGAGGTGCCCAGAATACAACAGTTTAGAAGTATATACGTATAAAAATACACAACATATCCCTCCAAACTGCCAATATCCCAAACCCCTCCTTTAGAGTGCAGGCATTGTACTTCCCATTTCCAGACTCAAGTCCCGGGTTATATAAAATAACTGGTTTTCCCTGAATCCCTTCACTAAATATTACCCTGCTCACACTCCAACAGATCGTCAGGTCCAAATACCATTTGTCTCCATTCACTCCTATCTAACACGCTCACGCATGCTTGCTGTGATTACAGAGTGTACCACTAGAACGCTTAGCATGGCTAGGCATTTCGGGCATACTTAGTTTTATTCTTAATTGTAAAATATTACAAATTATGAGGTAAGTTGGTATTATGGCTAAGTGACTAAATACTAGTTTGTGAGTTTAGCAATGTGAATGCTTTTGTTTTGGCACAGTATATGGTTTCAGTATTGGAGTATCACAGGATTCATTATTTTAAGACTGAGATTAATATTTCTGTTTATGGTCAAATGAGTGAGCGAGTGTAAGTGTGAACCACCAGGTGGTATTCGTGTAGTTAGTTGACGGGGTGTATCAGGGAGATAAGATGTTTTCTAATGGTAGTTTTGAAGGTGATGAATGTGTCTGCAGTTCTAGAGTTCTCAGGTAGGGTATTCCAGATTTTAGGGCCTTTGACATACATTGAATTTTTGTAAAGGTTTAGTCGGACACGGGGAATGTCGTAGAGATGTTTGTGCTGGAAGTCCAAACCCCTCGCCCACAACACCTCCTTTACCCCCTCCCTCCAACCTTTTCGAGGATGACCCCACCCTTCCTTCCTTCCCCTACAGATTTATTATACGCTCTCCATGGTCATTTACCTGTTGATCCATACTCTCTAAAGAACCCAAACACCTCAACAAACCCTCTTCTAGCTCCTCTGACTAATACTTTTTTTTTTAACTCCACACCTCCTAATTTCCACACTCTGAATTTCTGCATAATATTTAACCAACATTGCCCTTAGACAGGACATCTCCACTGCCTCCAACCGCCTCCTCGCTGCTCATTACAACCTCCAAGCTTTCACCACCCAGTATAAGAGTGTTTGTTAACCACGAATACTTTTCAATACATTCCCTTCTTTGCCTCCATTGATAACATTTTTTGCCTCCCACATATACCACAAGAGGAAGACAAAGAACTTAGTCCTTGGAGGCAAAGAGGGTAATGTCTGATAGTATAGTTTTAACCAACGCTCTTAATATGGGTGTTGAAGCGTGGGTGATGATGTTGCAGCGAGGAGAAGGCTGGAGGCAGTGGAGATTGTCATGGTCTGAGGGCAAGTGTGGTGTGAATATATGCAGAGAATTCGTAGTTTGGAAGTAGGAGGAGTGTGGGATTACCAAAAACTGATGTCCAGAGGCTGAGGAAGGGTTGTTGAGGTGGTTCGCACATGTAGTAGAGAATGGAGCGAAACAGAATGACTTTCCAAGAGTGTATCAGTCTGTAGTGGAAGGAAGGCGGGTAGGGGTCGGCCTAGAAGGGATGGAGGGAGAGGGGTAAAGGAGGTTTTGGTGTGCGAGGGCTTGGACTTCCAGCAGGCATGCAGTGACGTGTTTGATAGGAGTGAAAAGGAACAAATGGTTTTTTACATACTTGACGTGCTGTTGGAGTGTGAGCAAAGTAACCTTTAATGAAGGGATTCAGGAAACGGCAGGCCGGACTTGAGTCCTGGAGGGATGGGAAGAACAGTCCTGCACTCTGAAGGAGGGGTAGTTAATGTAGCAGGTTTAAAACTGTAGTGTAAAGCAACCCTTCCTGGCAAGAGCAGTGATGGATTGAAATGATGGTGGAATAGTTTTTTCTTTGTCGGCCACCCCTGCCTGGTGGGAATCGGCCAGTAGTGATAACTAAAAAAAAAAAAAAAAATATGCACCTCAAGCACCACTCACCTATTTTCCTTTCCTTCACAATTCCTATGATTAACCTCATCCTTCAAAATCCATCCGCTGCAACTCAACCTCCGCAAATATCTCGAAACATTCACTTCTTCCATTCTCCTCCTCCTCAATTTGATATCCATTTTTTCTTCTATCTAAATCATATTCTACGATACGTCTTATCATACCTTAACTCTTTTCTAGTCACTTTCAGCTTTCTACCTCTTACAACACAATCCCAAATTCATGCCACTAACCTTTTGCAATATTTCTTTAGAATCCGTCCTATAAGCACAGTATCATCAGCAAAAAGTAACCTGTGTCACTTCCCATTTTGTATTTAATTCCCCATAATTATACATCCCACCCCTCTCCCGAACACCTTCTAGCAATTTACTTCTTTACAACCCCATCTATAAATAATTAGAACAAAAACCATGGTACCTTACACATCCCCTGTCTAGACCACTTCTTAACTGGGAAGTAGTATCCCTCTCTCTACACACCCTAACCTGAGCCTCACTATCCTCATAAAAACTCTTTTACAGCGTTTAGTAACTTACCACCTATTCCATAACTTGCACATCCGCCACATTTGCTCCCTTATCCACTCTATCATATGCCTTTTCTAAATCCATAAATGCAATAAAACTTCCCTAACCTTACTACAGACCAACGAGAATGTACCACTAATACTTGCCACAAGGGATGAATATGGGAAGATAAAATAGCTAAATTCAAATCCAAAAACATGTCTACAAAAACCTCTCACAGACATAAACATCTCATCTACACTAGAAACCTGGGCAGGGCGAGCATATGGGCGAGTCTCCTTACACCACTGTCCTTTAACCTTCAGTAAAAAGTACCTGGGAGTTTAGCTCGAATCGTCGTGGTTGCATCCTGGGGAATGATCAAGCACTACAAACTACTGATACAACTCCAAATGCCTCTCAAAATTACCTAATGAGCACTTTCTGTGCCTCAAAGTACAGATACAAGAGTACCACAGTCAAACATTAGCCGTTTTTGAGTGAAAACCAGGAAGTAATAACTGATGCACACAATGAAACAGAAGATCACTTACTACTCTTAAGTGACTATCAATATACATCTCCTGCACAGACCAGGACCCACAAGTTACTGAATTTCACAAACACAAGATAACTGCTTTTGCTACCAACCTGGAGATTACCCTGGAGAGAGTTTCCGGGGGTCAACGCCCCCACGGGCCCGGTCTGTGACCAGGCCTCCTGTTGATCAGAGCCTGAACAACCATGCTGTTGCTGCTGCTGCACGCAAACCAACTACGAGCCACAGCCCGGCTGATCAGGAACTGATTTAGGTGCTTGTCAAGCAGTGCCATCTTTGAAGACTGCCAGGGGTCTGTTGGTAATCCCCCTTATGTGCGCTGGAGGCAGCAGAGACAGTCACAGGCCCCTGAACTTATTGTTATGTCTCTTAACGTGCTTAGTGACACCCCTGCTTTTCATTGTGGGTATGGTGCATCGTCTGCCAAGTCTTTTTTGCTCGTAGTGATGATTTTCTGTGCAAGTCTCGGTAACTGAGTCCCTCTAGGATTTTCCAGGTGTATTATATTCATGTATCACTCCCCTATCCTCTGCGTTCCAGGGATACAGGTTTAGGAACCTCAAGCGCTCCAGTAATTCTGAGGTGTTTTATCTCCGTTATGCGCAGGCCTGAAAGTTCCTGTACATTTTCTAGGGTCGCGCCAATTTCACGCTTCCTTGAAAGGTGCTGTTAGAGTGTGCACAATATTCCACCTAGATAGAACAAGTGACCTGAGATGTCATCATGGGCTTGGCCTCCCTAGTTTTTTGAAAGGATCTCATTATCCATCCTGTCATTTTTCTAGCAGATGCGATTGAATACAATGTTATAGGTCCCTTGAAGGTGAGATCTTCCACATGATCACTCCCAGGTCTTTTGACGTTGGTGTTTCGCGTCCTATTTTTTTTTATTATTAACCACTGGCCCGATACCCACCAAGTCGCAGGGTGGCCCGAAAAGAAACACTTTCACCATCATTACACTCCATCACAGTCATTGCCAGAAGGCGGTGCATTACACTACAGTTTTTAAACTGCAACATTAACCACCCCTCCTTCAGAGTGCAGGCACTGTACTTCCATCTCCAGGACTCACAGTCCGGCCTGCCGGTTTCCCTGAATCCCTTCATAAATGTTACTTTGCTCACACTCCCAACAGCACGTCAAGTATTAAAAACCATTTGTCTCCATTCACTCCTACAAACACTCTCCACGCATGCTTGCTGGAAAGTCCAAGCCCTCGACACAAAACCTCCTTTACCCCCTCCTCCAACCCTTCTAGGCCGACCCCTACCCCGCCTTCCTTCCACTACAGACTGATACACTCCATGAAGGTCATTCTGTTCGCTCATTCTCTCTACATGTCCGATACCACCCTCAACAACACTATTCCCTCCCCCTCTGGACAACAGTTTTGGTAATCCCGCACCTACCCTAACTGCGAAACTACGAATTATCTGTGCGCGAGAGCGTATTCACCACCACACATTGCCCTCAGACATGTACATCCCACTGCCTCCAGCCTTCTCCTCGCTGAAGGCCAGTGGAGATTCATGTCTGAGGGCATGTGTGGTGTGAATATAGAATGCAGAAGAATTCGTAGCTTGGAAGTTTAGGAGGAGTTGCGGGATTACCAAAACTGTTTGTCCAGAGGCTTAAGGAAGGGTTGTTGAGGTGGTTCGGACATGTAGAGAGAATGGAGCGAAACAGAATGACTTTCAAGGATGTATCAGTCTGTAGTGGAAGGGAAGGCGGGGAAGGGGTCGGCACCTAGGAAGGG